AAAGGGATTGTTACATTTCCTACGCCAGTATGACTGCAAAGAAATAAAGGAAGAAGTGGCTTTTCCAGACACTCTATTAATGACAGAGCCACTCTCCCTCATTCAGATATTTCACAGGCAGCACAAACAGCCTGGATGCACCTCCCAGGCTGGGTGTAGTGCTCAGAGCTGCATCATTAGGTGTTTTAGCAGATGTGAACTCAGCTTCTCACAGCACAGCACAGCACTGGACACTGACTGTACTTGTGCAAACTGGGAGGAATCGGGCAAAGAGGGAGCAGGCAGCCCGAGGGAACGCTCATTATCAGTGTCCTGACACTGCTGGGAGCACCAGCTTACAGGCTGATAGCTTTGAGGGCCTTGATTAATGTGCAGAACTCAGGCAGATGAATTCACACGTGCCCAGAAACTTCTGTGATCTGGATGAACCTGATAAATTCAGATAGAAATCTTCACATCTGCCAGCTGCTTATTAATGCACAAGGGGAAAATGGTTTTTTTTTAGCAGTAAAATCTAAACCAGACATGCCACAGCTGAGCTTGGCTTCCAAAGACTTCTAAGGGACAGAGGGATGGGGTCTTCCAGCCACTCTGATGGGAAAAGAGGACAGTTCCAATACTGAGCCTACTTTTCATATCCACACCCCATCTCCTGGGTGAAGTATGGGGACCTGAGCATCACCAGCAGAGGTTATATTACCCCATGATGTGTTCATTTTAATGAGCACATTTGGCATTAATATCTCAGGGTATAGAACTATCTGTGTATCAAGCATGAAAAAAAAAAAAAAAAAAAAAAAGAAGCAAAAAACCCCAAAATCCCAAACAAACAAAAAAACCCAACCAACGAAAAAAAAAAAACACACACAAAAAAAAACCAAACAAACAAAAACCCCAAACAAACAAACAAACAAACAAACCCCAAAAAACCAATAAAGAAAATATTTGAAGGGTCTTTTTCATATTCATCACGTCTCTCCATAACAGCTCCATAGGAAGTGAAAAACTTTGCAGTTGGTGAGTCTCCCCTATGATTACATGGAACTATCTCTTCATCCCAGGAACACATTCCAGAGTGTGTTACACACACATGGATCACACACTTCCATACCCACTGAACTTTTTGGTTGCAAAGAAATCAAGGGAGAGCCTGATGTGACATTTCTAGAACCAGCTCCAGCCCAAGATCAGCCTCAGGTCAAGAACAAAGATGTTTTCATTTCTTACGACTTTTAAGCTCCAGAAAATTCTTTCTCCTAGTGGGACTTCCTGCTGTTGGATATTTAACTGAAACTATTCTGGAGTCAGCTCTAGTAATAAATACTGAGAGACCAAAATACCTGTAGAGCTTTTTCTTGATGAGTCTGTCTTAGAACTGTAAATCTGAATTTTTTCACAGCGTATTTCATACTGGAGAAGCTTCCACATAAGGATTTATTTAAATAGGAAATTATTTATCATGTTTTTCACACCAGAGTATCTCAACTCCAGCAATTTGACAGGTTTTTTTTGATTCAGTTCATTGTTTAGTGCTTTTGTCTATGTTGTTTTCCTTTGGTTTGTGGTTTGGGGTTACTTTTATTTTGTAAATTCTGGTGCCTGCTTTTAGGAAGAGACTCAATCACTCGAGCAGATTTCAGTGTGTACCTGGTGAGTTAATAAACAGATGGTGGAATTACAGTGACGAGCATCACACCAGAAGATACCCAGAGAGAGAAAGATAAACAACTCTGACAAGGAGCCCACCTCTCCCTCTGGTATCACTCATGGCATCAGCTCCTCCTGTGACTCACAAAAGCCTGATAAAAGCAAAAGTGAGCTGTCCCAAATATCACAGCGATGACAGCAAGGCTCTCAGGTAAGAGACAGGGTATTTTTCCAGCCAAACACTTTGAAAATCAACTAAGACAAAATTGAAGAGAGCTAGAACGTCCCCTTGGAGGTCTGTGGAGAGGCTGGGCTGAGGCTCAAGAGGCTCCTCCTACCCCTGGAGTAGCAGAACAGACCCCACAAAAATCCAAGGAGCCTTGAAAGGATGTTAAGGTAGCAACAGGTAGCAGGAAACTCATTTTGAGAGGCTTCTGGAGAGTGAAAACCTCAGAAAAACTGGCTCATAAAAATAGGATGTAGATGCTGTAATATTCCCTGTTTATCAGCTCTGATATGTTGAGTGATTAATTTGGACATCCAGAGTACCTGAAAGGGATCAAGGAATAAAAAAACAACCGCAAACAGTCTTCCATACACCCCCACAGAGTTTAAAATGTTATCCACAGCCTTACCTATTGTGACAAGTGTCCTGGAAGGACACCACCATTAATACAGACCTTAAATAATGAAATTCTAGTCAATTTCCACAGTATTTTAAACAATCTTTATACAAGCAAGGCCTACATTTTGTTCAGAATATGAGGAACTGCCACACAGCTTTTACTTAAAAGAAAATTACAGGCAGGAAATGTTCCATTCAGGTGTGAGAAGTGTAGTGAGACAGAGAATCTCTGGGGTTTTTTTAAACTGCCCTGTACAAAATTGTATTAAATTACTATATGTGAGGGAGAAGAAATAGAGAAGAGCTATTTCCACTGGAGCACCAAAGGATGGCAAGGGGGGCAGATGGAAATGATAGGCTTTTCTGGCCTGGCTATTATGATTGGAGAGTGCAAAGAGGAGAATAAATGTATTGTCATTTATTCCAGCCAGAAGACAGAGAAGCATTAGCACATGCAGAAAATAGCTGCCTAGAGAACAGCATTTTCACAGGATTACAAATGTATCTCCTGCCACTAAACATACCAGAATAATTTGGAACTAATACTGTTATATTCCAGTGTATAAAATTGACAGTAATTTCTTTTCAATAATACATTGCTCTTAGTGAAGGTGCCCACAGACAATCAAGGAGGTGTGTTTAATTTCACTGATCATTCCGTTTGCTGAAACAGGTATTTACTGTCCAATTTGGGGTTTAGGAGTATGCACATTTCAAAGTAAAACTTCTCTTTTGATATTTAACAAACTTTTTTATTCAATATTGAGAAATGTAAACTACTTTCTGTTCTAAATACTCCAATAAAACTTATTATGCATAGGGAAGCAAACAGATCTTTCAATTAAAAAGATTACATAGACACACTTTTAAATCTTAATCTTTGTTGAAGAAACACCCTGTGATTTTACGTTCCTCTGATCAAGAGAAAGCACGTGAGAAGCAGAGGTTTAGCTTGGATTTAGCAGGTTTAGGAGCAGGACTATCAATTGAGCAAAATCTCAATTACAGGCTAATTGAATGTATGCTCAAGTACATTATTACAATTCAATAATCATCTCTTCAAAATTAAACAATTCCAATTTGCTTTCATTTCCGCCTGTGCACATGCATTACAAATTTGCTATTATTCACACTAAAATTAGTCAGGCTGTTTGGAAGCCCGATGTGCACAGGGTGGCACCAAATTGACCTCAAATGAACCACTTAACCTCACCTGCTTCCTAATCAGGGATGAAGAGCAGGATGGAACCTTCCCATAACACTTTGATCCTGTTAAAGTTCCTTCCAGGTGGGTGAATTGCTGAGCAATCCAGCAATGAAGCCATCAACAACTTTCCTGGTGGACATCCAGCCATTCATGGTTTTAATTTATTCTTCTATATTTTTTTATCTTGTTTGTATCAACAAACATGAAATTGTCAAGCTGCACCAAGGGAAACACCAAGGGTTGGGTATTGGAAAAAAGTTTTTTACAGAAAAGTGATAAAGCTCTGGAATGGCTGTCCGGGGAGGTGGTGCAGTCCCCATCCCTGGGTGTGTTTAACAAAGCCTGGATGTGGCACTGGGTGCCAGGGTTTAGTTGGGGTGCTGGGGCTGGGTTGGACTCGATGATCTTGAAGATCTCTTCCAACCTGGTCATTCTGTGAATTCCAGGCACAGAACTGAGCCAGGAATGCTCTGACAGCTGCTTGCCCTGGAAAGCTGCTTTCCCTCTGTTTAGCTGTGGTACAATCCTAGGTGTGCCACTCCTGGCAGCTCAATCCCCTTTTAATCGTGAGTTAATTCCCCCAGATTTGAACAAGACACAAGATCACCTGGTGGGAATGAAAAGCACTTGGCATCCAGCACAAGCATTCTCCTCATGATCTGTGTGGTCCAAACATCTGCACCACACAACACTCCAAGGCACAACAAAGGCATCTGATCACCAAAGGATAGATAGTTGGCAGAAAGCAGCTCAGTGAACAACCAGATCTCGTTTGTACAGCTGTCCTCTGTTTTCATACCCTCCATTTAAATCAGTAAATTACACCCTGTGAGCAGACCCAGACTTAAATTCTTCTCACCCCAAACACAGAGTACCTCATGAACAGCCCAGCCACCATCTGAACTCACCACCTAAAGGTCAGTGAGCACTCCTGTGGGGCAGCTCATGGTAGGTTTAAAAAATAAATAGATAAATACGAATCCAGCATAGAAGATAGCACATCACCACCTGCCTCAGGAAGGTGAGATTAAGACACACCTTGCATGTGTCTGGCTCTTGAATCATGGTAATTAATATGGCTAAAATCCAAACACCCTTCAAGAACTACTGATGCTTCTACTCTGGACTTCAGGGCGTCAGCAGAATCAATCCCAGCATTTACTGCCAGCAGCCTTGAACAGTCTCTGCTGACATGCAATGCTCCACCACAAGATTATTTCTGCCTGATAAAATACTGGAAAGGAAAGCAGCTCGTGAAGCTGATTGACAGCCAAACTATTCAGCTGACTACAGTAAAAGTCTCCATAGCCACCATATTTTACTACAAAACTTTACAAAGAGGGCTGTGTCCAAAGCATTAATTCAAACACTCAAGATACCAACTTAAACTCACGTCACTTTCACCCTTTCTCCCTATTTTAACACGAACTAAAGAAGATCCGACAGAATGCCAGTTTTTACAGACAGTTATCCCCCAGGAGGAAACACTCCTTGTGCATGAATATGCTTTGCTGCTCCTACCTTTGACGATGAGCTCGGCGTAGTTGGAGACACCAGAGCCGCCGTCGGAGCGGATGACGCAGCGGTACTTGCTGATGCTGCGCTGCGACGTGTCGGCCACGCTGACCGTGGCTGAGAAGCGCCTGTGGTTGACCACTCGAGTGACCATCAGGGCTGTGTCCCTCCCGTTCCACTGCTGCAGAGGCAGAGAGAAATAACGCCGTGATGGAGACAGGTAGGCTATGCGTTGGTGCATCCATGTGTAAGTCGCTCCTTGGAGTGCTTAACATGGTCGGAGCTCCGTGTTCACGTTTTGGGAGAGGTTTTGGGCAAGCACGGCTTTTCAAGGGAAGAATTCAGCCACTCCCTCAGGAAATCCACAGGGCTGTGTGAGCTGGGCTCTAAATATTTTTATACATAGGTGAGGGTGGGCAGGCCCTGGCACAGCGTGCCCAGAGCAGCTGTGGCTGCCCCTGGATCCCTGGCAGTGTCCAAGGCCAGGCTGGACAGGGCTTGGACCAGCCTGGGACAGTGGAAGATGTCACTGCCATGGCAGGGGTGGCACTGGATGAGATTTAAGGTCCCTTTCAACCCAAACCTGTGATTCTATGATGTATTTAAATTTGTATTTCTATTTAATATTTGAGATATATTTGGGGTTTTGGTGTGTTCTAAGGATGCAAAGAGGGTAAAGTGTCTGTCAGGGAACTCATATGAGGGGCAGGACACTGAGGACACTTGGCTTGGTCAGAGTAGGAGCTCTGTGACAGGGACAGGACCCAGGAAATGCCTGGAGCTGTGCCAGAGAGGGTCAGGTTGGAGATCAGGGAAAGGTTCTTCCCCAGAGGTGTTGGCACTGCCCAGGCTCCCCAGGGAATGGGCACGGCCCCGAGGCTGCCAGAGCTCCAGGAGCGCTGGGACAGCGCTGCCAGGGGTGCCCAGGGTGGGGTTGTTGGGGGGTCTGGGCAGGGCTGGGGCTGGGCTGGTGATCCTGGGGGTCCCTCCCAGCTCAGGACATTCCATGATTTTCAGATTAGTTCCTGTAAAGGCTGCAGAGGGGCAGCTCTGACTGCCACTGTGCAGTTCCACCCACTGTAATTAGAGGTCTGTCTTGGATGTGAAAACACAACAGCAGAAGGCTTTGTGTTCACCTGGAAAACACTACAAATTAACAGATTCTGTAAATTTAGCCTTTTCAGATGCAAAACTCTGATTCTGAACCAATTTAAATAAATTGGTTGGATGAGCAGACATCCTTGTATATCCAACATTCCCCAATAAACGTCACTACCAATGCCAGTCCACATTTTTCCAGCTGGAAAAGGGACAGATGAAGAATTAGCCAGAAATTGTTCTTCACAGTATAAACACCTCAACTTGCTCATTTGTCCAGTTTGTTAGGAATTTTAAGGAAAGCACATTACTATTTTGGCAGTTTCCACTAAACAGTTATTAGGGGTGTTTCCAAGGCTATTTTCATTAAATGTTGCAGTTTTAGAGAGTGGAAAGCAGGTTTTCATTAACAATAGCAATTCTTTCCTCCCCAACTCTACTTCTCACAGGCAACGGTTCATATTGCTGCAGGTCAGAATTGTTTTCACACACATCTAATTGTAACTGGGGATATATTTTAATGAAAGAACCAAAAAAAAAGATAAAATAAGTCAAAAATGTATCTCAGTGAGTGCTAGACATACACCATAGGTAAATAAATTTAAGTTAAAAATGTAATTTTTAGAAGAGCTGTGATGAGACCATAGTCACTGAATATAAAATAATTTTTTATATAATGCCAACAATATGTCTCACCAACTTAAGCCTTTTTCCCAGTACTATTTTTAATTTTTATGATTAGATATGCCAGTTCCTTGATTTAAGCTAGATTTGAAAATGTTATTTTAAAATTTTATTAAAATGCCTGAAGTCAATTATAAAATTTGATAAAACCTGGTAATTATTTGACTACAAAGACCCTTCCTGTCTGCCCCTGATGTTACAACTACGGCATGATCAAAACCTCAGTGACATCCATCCCAAGCTGAGAATAAAACTTTTGGACTGGCTTTAGTGTTCTCCAAATTATGTTGGTCCTGTGTACATGCAACAAGAATCCTCTCTATTTCTTTAGGAGTTAAACATTTAGGAACTCAACAATTTTAAAAGCTTCTGGAATGGTAATGCTGGGTGTTCATAAATCAGGGAAATTTAAGGGGCAGGAGAAATTATTGTGTCCTTCACTGGGAAACACACACCCCACGTGCTGATGTTGGAGTTGATGTCAATTCTACCACTGACAGTGAATTCCCAAGGTTTTTCCTGCACCCACCAGAAGAGCAGGACCCAGACAAGTTTGATCAGTAGGCTGCAAGTAAGACATCCAGGGAGGGAGTGTTTTGGTCTTTCAGTGAGTAACTAAAAGGAGCAAGAACAAATCTGCTGTCAACACAGCCAAGGGAAACTGGGAGCAAGAAGAACAGGGTGCAAACTGGGTTTGCCTATTTTACCCACCCAGGTAAGTAATTTCAGACCTTGGAGATTTCCTTCTTAACAATTACCACTAACTCCAGGCTGAGAACATTTTTAGGGTGAAAGGAAAGCAGATGGCATAATAATGCAGAAGAGAACTGTTCCACTTCCTCTCTCTTCTGCTTTATGGCTGAGTGTATACAGGTGCATGGGCATTTGTTTGAAACCAGAATTTTGTGTCACTGCCCATTTTTTCCTTTTTCCTTCTCCTAATTCCATGCTTTGTCACCTCAACTCTCACCTATAAGTAAATTACGGCAATTCTTCAAAGGATCTTGATGAAAACATTTTGTTTCACCACCAATCTTTCTCTAGCTATTTATTTCACTTGCAAAAGCAAAGAAAGCCCCAAATTAGCCACAAAAAAAGGAAAAAAAAAAAAAAACCCAAACCAGCAGGGCATGGCTTTACCTGGAGCCAGAGCTTGTCGTGCTGTGACCACTTCCCGCCGGCGATGCACTGGAAGGTGGCGTTCTGCCCCACGTTCACCTCCACGTTCTGCAGCCGCAGGAAATGCGGGGCTTTTCCTGACAAAAGAGGATTGCAAGGGTAGAGCCAGGCAGGAACCACCCGTGCTGCACCCACCCAAACACCCAGCAAAGCCTTTGCAAAAGTGCTTTTGCAAAACAAAGCTGCCCTTGGATGTTTAACTGCTCCCTGCAGGGGGAAGTGGTGATGGAGCTGGGAAAAGGTGGCCTGAGGGATCTTAGAGAGCCCTGGCACCCCTGAAAATACAGATTTGGATCAAATCACAAGTTCATGGTCACTAGCACAATTCCTTATTGCCTGCTATAAAGAGTAATTGAGTCATCTCTTCTTTTCAGAAAACTATGATTCTAAAAAGGTCAAAAAAAGTCAAATGCTTTTGTGCTTGTCAAGCATGACTGACCCAAACCCCATTTTCACAAGAGTCTTTTATTCTTTTTCTTTTCTTGACTATCAAATATGTCCTAGACCTTTAGAACAATGCATCATCAATATCAAATCAGATATTAAATGAAATATTCATTTAACTGGCAGTATTGTAGCACTGGTTTAGTTTAAGATCACTGATATCAATGTTTTGCTGACAGTAAATTCAGCATTAGTTCAAAATTAAACCAGTGATATTAAAATTGCAGACATAATTTTTTTTTCATAAAGAAACTAGATGAGAGGATATCTTCTTGATTAAATATCAGACTGAGTTAGGTCTCTATTTAACTAACAGTATAAACAAGATTACCGCAGCAAATGCAACATCTTTAAGTGAATTATTTTTTTTGCAGGGCTTCAGAAAATGGTTTGTGCACCATTTGAAAAATTTTAGTATGATACTCTGAAAAAACTTACACCTAAAAAGTCAGGGGTTTTCAACAATATCTGCACATTTTCTAGAATGATTAGACACTGAAATACACAATTTCAGAGGACAATATAACCTCCCTTCTGTTGGAAGAAACAGCTTTAAAGGGAAGTGGGCATCTGTGGCCGTGCATGGCTGAAACTTGATGTACAAGTGTTTGACACATGAACAGGGAACACATGTTCATGCACCATGTCAAATGTTTTTATCTGCTCCTGTGCCCCATCCAGCAGAGCTCACTGACAGCTCCTGAAGGACAGGGACTCTGGGCAGCAGGAATTTGCATCAAGGTTTACTGGAAAACTCCCTCTGGGTGACATTCAGAACATTCTACAGGGTATTTCAGGATAATTCTAACATTTATGCCTGCAGTCTAAAATGTGCAGCTGTAAGTCAGCTACAAATACGAAGGTGTGGAGTCCCACCAGTGCCAACATCCTGGTCCTTGGCTCTGCCCAGCCTCTGGAGCATGGGTTGTGCTGTGATGGCAAGGGCTCGTGCACACAGAGCCAATGAGCTTTTAGCATAAGGAAAATGGATATTCCAGTGTATTGCTTCACAAGACAAAGGAAAGCAAGAGGCAGCACCAGCAGTACATTTCTTTTTCTGTATTACTGTGTCATTAGGGGCATTTCACTGCTTTTTACTGACTTTGGTTTGCCTACCTTTGTCACCTGTGAAGGTAAAGCAGAAATGAAGAAATAAGACCAATGATTTCAGTAACCTCCAGGGCCACCAGGAGCTTCACAGTCCCCATGTTTTGATTTACAACAATTGTAAAAGGAATCTGAGGGGCAAAGGCTGTACAAGGAAAGGGAACACGTGGGTGACGTTCACCCTGGTGACTGACACTGCTGAACAACAAAAGCAGCACTGGGAACCAGACAGGAGCAGCATTTACAGACACTGCAAAGAACTGCAGCTTGTAATGAGATCTGTATGCTGGGGGCTGCAAACAGATTGAGAAAAAACTCCAACTAACCAACTCTGTTTCAAACATTGTGTTGCTGAGTCACCAAGAATGCATTTCATTTTGACAAGGACATGTACATACTTGAAGAAATGGATTCAAAATCAGTTTACTTAATTAATCATGGATACAACACAGCATCCTGCCTAACTGCTTTAAATCCCATCATTTTCTTGTTGAGGCTCTGCCCCAGGGTTTGTTTAGTGGCCTCTATCCCAGTGAAGGGAGCAGCAATCACCCAACACACTGTGGAAGGCACAGACCATTTGGGGATTCGTCTGGATGCTGCCAGTTATCAGCAACATCTGGTTAATACAGACTGTAAGTATTCCTTAATGAAGTAAATGCACCCAAAGGCCTGAGCAATGAGCACATGGTAAATACAAATATAATTTACTTAAGCAGCAATTAAGCATACTGCAGTTATCAGAAATGTCCTGTTAAACTTGAGCAGAACCATGTCTGTCACATTGAATGGCAGATGTTCTTTGACATTCTGATCACAGCAAAAACAGCTGATTTCACTCCATCTATAAGATCCATCATTTTTTTGTGAGCAGCTGTCACTGACTTACTGAAACCATGAGCCAGAAAAAGGGGCTGTTAAAGAAGATCTTTACATGTAACTGTACATTACATCCATAAAATATGCAAAGTCCTCAAGCCCCACTTGAAGGTGGGTAAAGGAGCCAAACAAGTTCAGACTCAAAGACTGCGGCACAATGCTTCTTTAAACATAAAAAAGTAAATATATCTCATCTTATTGTTGTGTCTGCAATAGAAGAAATGCAGCACTAACATTTTTTAATAGTGTGAAGAACCTGCATTAGCTTCTACTCCTGTATATGTGCAGTGTCTGAATAAGATTAATTTTTGATATCTTCACAGCTTTCTGAGCAGGTCTAGTATGTTGAAACCAACCTTTGGGACAGGCCTCTTACCAAGGAAACACTGAAACAATTTGTTTGGTTGTTCTTTTCAGAAGTTAACCACACTGGTTATAATGAGAAGCATTTTAGATTGTTTTCTACAGCAATAAGATTAAGAAACACTAAAACCATCAGTTTACTAGCAAGTAAAGAAGAGAGAATTCCACTAGCCATAAACTGAGAGCAGCTTTGCCTTTTGTACAACTTGCAAAAGTGGGTAATTAAGCAAGGCTGACTGTCCTTAGGGGTCTTGGTGGGAGACAAGACATTTTAGTGCTGACCCAACTGGGTAAATCTCTCCTTTACACTACAAACTATGGCTTAAACCACATTGGTACAGTCAGAAAAATAAAGAGTGCTCACTGCAGGGATGGGCGAGGACTCTGACTTCATCCACAGCTATGTACCCAGGGTGTCCTTTCAAAGAGACAGATTCAAATATCACCTGAAATATAAAAGAAAAAAAAATCTGAGAAAGAACATTTACATCAGTAATTTCAGCAGTCACCACATTCTGCTGTTATTCCAAGTCTGAGTCAGTCAAGGCATTTTGTCAACAATGAAGGGATACCAGTGTAATTCAGTGTGTGAATGCAACATCAAATCTGTTGGGGAAGCAAAACAGAGGATTAGAGCAACATTCAATAGGATTAAAGACAGCTCTGTGCATCTCTGATTTGGAAAAGCAATACGTGCCCTGGCTATACACACACCTATATTCTCTTAAGCACCAGTCCAAGAACATTAGGTGGATAATAATTTGATATCTTGTTCTCAGTATGCCTTGGAAGATTGGAGAAAGCACTACAATTGGAGAAAGCACTACAATTCTCTCCCTGAATCAGTGACCATGCATTCCAGTCATTTGCAACTTCTAAAATTCACTACTAGAACAGAGAGTTAACTATTTAAAACCAGTAATCAACAGTTCTTTTTGTTCTAAAGAAGAGCTGGCATTCCCAGACTGTCACTGTTCAGCCTCTTCTTTATCTCCTTCATCAAAAGATTTAATACGGTAAAAGGTTCAACTGTCCAAATATTGCCCTGGATGAAAACAGACCAGAAATATCCTTCCTAACTACAGAGTTGCTGATGTTCCTTTTTCTTTGCATTTGGGCTTCCAGAACATGGTTTATTATGTTGTCATGACTTCCTAAGATCTCTTCCTCCAGTTCAAAACACAATCAGATGTGAGAACTCCTGAAATAGATACATAAGGAAAAAAAGGCATAAAAACAGACAAAGACAAAGCTAAGAAAAGCTCAGGTGCTAATAATGCATAGAAACAAAGTTCTCCTCCAGAGGGGACTGGACAACTATTAGGCTGCCCAGGAAATACTAGGAAGAAGCAAGCCACTGGAAGATAAAATAATCCAAAAACCATTTGCAAGTGTTTTGTGCTATCAGAGTCCTTGATAGGCTTTTTAGGACTGTATGAAATAAGAGTACAAAATAAGAGTCTTTAGTATGGAAATTATAATTACTTTAGCAATTAAATATCATTCATGATAAAAATTACATTTACTGGGAAGGTCATGCAAGGCTCTACTGCAACTCCCTTCAGACCTGAATTCAAGTGCAACATTACAGCTACAAAATCTTATTTCAGTTTTCCATTTGTGAAAAGTCATAAGCCACAACAAAGTAATTCTCAATTATCTGCAAGTCAAGAACTTGATAAGTTCTCCAAGGCATTGGCATCAGGCATGAGTGGATGGCAAAAGTAAGCACAAAACACAGAGAATTGGCTTTGGTTAATCTCCAACATGTGCAGGGTCTTTAATACAGCGCAATACAACCTAATAATAACCAACTCAGCCTCTAAAAAATCCCTGTCCACTGGTGCAGAATCCACTGAGTAGAGGACTCCTCTGAATTCAAGCAATATTGTTTGACTGTTTTATCCTGTTCTGCTTTACATTCAGATATTCCCAGTCCTTTCCCAGTTCAAACTTACACATTATTGTCTTTTTGTGTATTTTGAAGCATCTCATCCCTATCAAAGTGAGAATCACAGAAGCACACAGGCTTTCCTGAAAACCGGGAATTGAGCCCCAACATGGGAAAAAGGCAGGGATAAATGTTTATGGGGCCCATTTCTGCAAATCTCATGCTCAGTATCACTCATGTGCTTTTGAGTTCAGCTGGAAATGCAGCATGATTGTTGAGACAGGCAATGCTTTGTAATTAATAATGCTTTGCATTTCAAGAATTCCATAGAAATTAATACAGTTGACAAAATACAAAGCTTCACTTTTCAAAAAGCATTCTTAAATGTTCCTGAGGTCTGCAAATACAAAGTCATTTCATGTTTCCTTCCCACGGAACAAGCCCCCGTTGCAGCGCTGTGATTTACCAACAATGTCTGTGTTAGCAGCCTGGCCCAGCTCATCTGTTGTGCTACAACACTTTTCTCCAGGCATGGATCAATAACATTCCTTGCTATACATCAAAAAAACACCTTTCTGGCAGGCTCTAGTGCTGCCCTTGGTGCATTCTGGGACTGAGTTCATCCTTATGGCAAGCAGTAATTCAAGATTACACGTATTACCTTTCTCCAAGAACCATTAGAGCTTTTTCTCGCTACGCTGGAAAACATTTGCAGGCTGAAAATCCAAGTACAAGTAACTCCAGGGTAGACATGATAAATTTCCCCACGTTTCTGTCTCAGCTAAGTGCTTCTGCAGCCAGATGACTCCTATGACCCTTGCACAGAACTGCCAGACCTAAAACACAACTTCTGGCAGCTGCTTTGGATACCAGTTTTCCACTAGCCATATCTCCAAAGTTCAAAGTACTTGAGAAAGCCTCAGACCAAGGCAGAGAGCTTCAGATTTTTCTGCCTGGCTGAATTTTTGGTGCACATCCCAGTCCAGGATGGTGTGGTTTCTGTTCATTAGGAGGATAATTGACATTTTGCCTGATGCAGAGTTCAATATTTAGCGAAAATGTTGCTTTTGCATGATCTTTTCAAAATACAGAACAGGCTGTCAGGCTTCTTGTGTGCAGAGAGTTCTCCAGGAATGCAATTTTGATTTAAAGCAAAGAAATGGCAAGACTGCCAGACCTAAAACACAACTTCTGGCAGCTGCTTTGGATACCAGTTTTCCACTAGCCATATCTCCAAAGTTCAAAGTACTTGAGAAAGCCTCAGACCAAGGCAGAGAGCTTCAGATTTTTCTGCCTGGCTGAATTTTTGGTGCACATCCCAGTCCAGGATGGTGTGGTTTCTGTTCATTAGGAGGATAATTGACATTTTGCCTGATGCAGAGTTCAATATTTAGCGAAAATGTTGCTTTTGCATGATCTTTTCAAAATACAGAACAGGCTGTCAGGCTTCTTGTGTGCGGAGAGTTCTCAAGGAATGCAATTTTGATTTAAAGCTGACAAAGAAACGGCAAGTGTGTGGGTGCTGAGGCCCTGGGCACAGGGTGCCCAGGGAAGCTGGGGCTACCGCTGGATCCCTGGAAGTGCTCAAGGCCAGGCTGGACAGGGCTTGAAGCAGCCTGGGACAGTGGAAAGTGTCCCTGCCCATGGCAAGGGGTGGAATGGGATGATCTTTGGAGTCCCTTCTAACCCAAGCCCTCCTAGGATTTTATTAAATAACACTGCAGTGGCACATTCTAGATCATGAGTGTGAAAAACAGGACACTTCTCAGGCAGCAACACACCCAAGTTTTGTCAACCTCCCACCTCTTACTTAAACATTCTAGATCATGAGTGTGAAAAACAGGACATTTCTCAGGCAGCAACACATCCAAGTTTGTCAACCTCCCACCTCTGGATTTACTTAGGCAGAAGCATTACTTTAGGCTGGCAAATACCAATAATTTTTCCTTTTCATTTTTTCAAGCTTCAAGTTCTCTTGGGATGATCTTTGGAGTCCCTTCTAACCCAAGCCCTCCTAGGATTTTATTAAATAACACTGCAGTGGCACATTCTAGATCATGAGTGTGAAAAACAGGACATTTCTCAGGCAGCAACACATCCAAGTTTGTCAACCTCCCACCTCTGGATTTACTTAGGCAGAAGCATTACTTTAGGCTGGCAAATACCAATAATTTTTCCTTTTCATTTTTTCAAGATTCAAGTTATCTTTTTTCTTTTTATTTTTTCTTAAACCTTGCTTAAATGTAGAAACTCACAGGATTACAGACCACCAACAAGGTGAATTATAAAACCAGAGGCTGAAATCAGTCTACTAGACCCCCATAATATCCAGGACAGATCTCAGATTTTAAAAGCTATGCTTAAGGAACAAAAATACAAGGATGACTAGAAGGAAACATCACTCTCACTCATCACAAATTTAAAAAGAAGCGCCTTGCATTTTCTAGGCAGGAACTACTCCTGGGCAGGTACTGCTGCCTTCCAATCCATTCAGTTTTGTGCTTCAGTAGAAAATTCTTGTTTGATTTAAAGGATTCTTTTGCCCAAGAAAAGCAAACTTGACCTGCCAAAGTACTTGTAAAAGACCTAAGTGAGGCTCAGGAAGCCTCCTATTGATATATCTGAGAGCAGGATCCCTCTTAGTGTGAGATCTGACTGCCTTTTGCAGGTTTTTCAAGCACCGATTTTCTGGGTGAAAGATCATTTCTGTCATCTCTGTGGAGCACCAACGATGAAGCAAATTCTGCTTCATGCCCAGGATCACGTTAATATGAATGGAGTAGGAGCACTCCAGTGTGCCTTCAGAACAGTCACAAGTTGTGCACTGCCCTTAAAACACCATTTCCCACACATTTGCATCTTTTAATCCTTCCCTCTCACCCGCCTGGTGCACTGTGTGGATTCTGCTGGTATCCACAACTCTTTCAGAGGCAGAACATTAAAGCTTCTTCCTCCAGCTCAGATTTTACAGACCTCCTACCCAGTTATTAGAAGCAAGAAAAAGAGAGGCTTTTCTACCTGCTGGTTTTTATACACAGACTATTCGCTGCCTTTTCATAGTTCCTTCTATCCTGGTGCCTGTCTCACTCATGGCTTTTATCAGTATCACATGGACATCAAATCTCCTGCAAGGTTTAGGATGCAATTACCTCCCAGGCTTTTTTTTTTTTTTTTTTTTGGTGTGTGTCTTGAATAAAAAACAAGACAAAAGTATCCTTCAACAAATCAAAAGCAGTATGTGAGCCCATTGTGTGCGAATTATCTAACTGAAATTGAAACAATGGCTGCAAAGTTGCCACGTGAAGTTTGAAGCAGACAACTAATACGTCAGTGTAAAACTAATATAACCAAAAAAATAGCATAGCCATTACATTCCTTGGATTTATCCTTATCTAAAAAAAATTTTGTCTTCTAACAGAATGAATAAAGCTGGGCTAGAAAGAGGAGGAGCTGAGGATCTAGTGAAGAATATCCACATATGATACTGTGGTACAAGAATTTATTAGTACCTTATGTCATTACACCCTCATATGGGCACAAGATGCAAAGCCAAGTCAAAAAATATTCCTTCTTATGGAACCAACCAAGGTCCAAAAATAATCCAGGCAAATTTATGCAGTCACACAGGGCCACAGAAAGTGTCAATACAAGTGGTAATTTCACCATGAACGAGTGGGTCTTGTCAATAATTGTCTCCCATCCATCAGTCCGTGGCCTGCCAACAACTAAAGAAAAAAAGTGAGGAGGAAAGAAATATGTCAAGCTGCTTATATATCCACTATAGGTCAAGTTATTCTGAGAGGAAAATTCAGGGAGGGAAGTGACGATTTTCAAAACTAACAATAGCCATCCAAAGGAGAGAGAGGGAAAAATATTACAAACCCCTACCTGGTAAAAATGTGGCCAGAAGGTGCTGATGGCCAGCTCTGCCTTCACCCAGCCTTCGGTCACCACTCCTGACACGTTCCAGATGGGGTTGCCCTGGGGGCCCCCGTTGACCTTGACGTAGACGTTGAGGGAGCCGGGGCTGGAGCGGTCGCGGCTGGACAGGTAGTAGTGGAAGTCGATGCAGTGCGTGTCATTCTCCTTCAGCGTGGGCAGCAGCAGGTGAGCTTTCTGCCCCGATGCTCGCCCAGAGCTGTTCACCATCATGAAGGAGCCTGCAGAGCAAAGGAAAAAGAGAATAAAGAGTGGGTTTGTTTGGATTTTTGGTGTAAACAGCTCTGTTTGAAAAGTCAGCGGGTCCCTCGCAAGCCACAGAGCAAACCGTTCCTCTGAAGGAAGCAGCTGTTTGGTGCCAGCTGTTAGGGAGAGAAGGGATATTAAAATTGCAAGGTATATACACCATAGATTCAGGGCTAGCTAGAACGACTTTAATTAAATAACTTGCAAATCAAAATAGAAATGCTGGCTTGCCTGTATTATTTTATCACCTTGTGATCACACAGTCACTCTAAACAAAAGCACATTCCCAAATCAAGCGACAACCAGGTTCTCCTGCTGCACACCATGCCCCAAAGGCACATTCAATACAAGCTAACAAGTGACAGGATGAGAGAAAGCAGCCTCAAGTTGCACCAGGGGAGGTTTAGATTGGGTATTAGGAAAAAATTTTTCATGGGAAGTGTTGGAAAGCACTGGAACAGACTGAGGAGTCACCATCCCTGGAAGTGTTCAAGTAATGTGTGTATGTGGTGCTTGAGGATGTGGTTTAGTGGTGAGCATGGTGTTGGGTTGATTGGTTGGATTTGATGATCTATAAAACTAATTTCCAACCTTAACAATTCTGTGATTCAACACAAAAACAACAGAGCAAGTCTCAGCTGATATTTCCCTGCATCAACTAACACCCTTCATTCCAGTCCATACCTTGAACCCTGGCACCTGAATATTTGAACGTCGTATTAAGAAAACCCCAATTTTCAGAGCCCAACCAAGTGAGGGCTGTGGCCAGAACAGCAACATCTTTACTTGTAATAATGCAACAGGACAATAATTCTTGTGGGAGGGAAGGGTAGGCTGAATTTAGGGAGGGAAATGTATACTGAGGCAATTTATGAGTTTGTTAACCTGGAAGTCTGCAACATATTAACCGTGGCACTTGATGTTGAACTCGCATTTGGATTCATCAAGCAGTTATTTTATAGCACATTGTGTCTCCACTCATCTCCTCACACATGCATCAAGGTGACAAATGTCAGCAATAAGGGAGAACACGATGAGAGTTATTTGATTCAGTTCTGGTTACAGGATCTCCTTCGTGTGGGTGCAGACACTCACACTCAGAAAGAACTAAAGAAAACACTGGGATGGGGCAGGGGGAATCTGTGTGTCAGCAGCCAGGCATTATAATTTTTAATCAAACACAGCCCTCTTGACACTTCTGGTTCTGATGCTACTGCCAAGCCACACTGCAGATGTGTTTGTCAGCTGGCCACCTGCAGTTCACAGAAGATTGAGTTTGAAAAGCCCTGCCTCACTTCTGACCTACTGACTCTCCCTTTTCCTCACCATAGCGTGTGACTCAGATGAGCCAGGCAAACATTTGGATCAATTCTGTACAGTGAACAGTCATATATTATGAATTTATAACAGCTTCAAGCAACTTTCTCTTAGAAAATTTTTCCTCCTGTGTTTATGTGATATATACTCATTTTGCAAAGGAGCAACAGAAGGCAGTCAATCTTAAAAAAAAAAAAATTAAAAAAAATTAATAAAGTTACTACACTACACTCTAAAGACCTTGGAAAATTCCAGGGCAATGCAAGTACAGCTGGGGAACAGGAAGAGAGTCTAAGAAAATTTATAGGAAGATGGTCCCTGGCAATGCTGCCTTTCAATGGAAATTAAGGAAAAACAAAAAACAAAATGGTCCCAAGTCAAGAAATTCTAGATTTTCAGCAAGAACTTGGAGAAATGTTAGAGCTGAATCCAAACTTTCTGGCTTCTGTCTAAAAATTAGGATCCTGACAAATGCCCATTGCTGATGTAACTCTGCTCCCAGTCAACCATAACATCCTCTTCTTCAGCATGTACTGTATACACACTACTCTTAAAAATCTACTCATATAAACTAAACTTTTGAGAAACTGAAATTTGGGTTCAGTTCCTATGAGATGAGAACAGTTATTATCAGCAAGCACAGGTACCAGAAGGCCTGGAGAGGCAGCACAGGCTGTCAGCTGAGGCTGCAGGCTGGGATCCTGACAGGGATCCAGCCAGGCTTGGGCAGGCTGACTGTGACACCCAGATCCACCAGGGCTGGAGCCCCTCTGCTCTGCAGCCAGGCTGGGAGAGCTGGGGGGTTCACCTGGAGAAGAGAAGGTTCCAGAGAGACCTTAGAGCACCTTCCAGTGCCTAAAGGGTCTCCAGGAGAGCTGGAGAGGGACTTGGGACAAGGGATGGAGGGACAGGATAAGAAGGAATGCGTTTAAGCTGAAGGAGGGGAGATTTAGATGGGGAACTGGGAAGGAATTTTTCCCTGTGAAGTGCTGAGACCCTGGCACAGGGTGCCCAGAGCAGCTGTGGCTGCTCCTGGATCCCTGACAGTGTCCAAGGCCAGGCTGGACAGGGCTTGGAGCAACCCGGGACAGTGGAAGGTGCCATGGCAGAGGTGGGACTGAATTGGCTTTAAGGTACCTCCCAACTCAACCCATTCTGGGATTCCAGGATCTCTGCCAGTACAGAGTTGCAAGAACCACTCTTCTGCAGAGAATCTGGGAGGGAAGACACTGTGAAACCACTGAGTAAGGGTGGCAGGGTCTGGAGAAGTGCAGCAGCTGCTGTGAAAGGCTCTGCCTGAGGCATTTCAGAGCCACTGGAGTACAGTGAAGACAAGTTCTCCATGTGGCAGATCCCACCCTGGAGGAGGCAGGTGCAGCTCAGAATCACTCCAGGAACAGCAAAGCTCCTGTGCATTTCCAAGATTTTTGACCAAGTGCCTCCCACACTGGGGAGGCAGCCAGGAAAAGGGATTTTTACACCATAATTGATTGCACAGCACCTGGCAGAGCATTCCACTTCTGGCCATGCCTCTCAACTTTTCTCTTTTTAATTTGGATAGTATGGAAATTATCCTGCCCTAAAGAACTGCTCTGATCTGTGCTGTGTCTAACACATGCAGCCCTGGACTGCACTGGGGGAGGTAAGTGCTTCAATGACAGCAAAAGTTAGGGAGTATTTCACTTTTACAGATCTATATATAAAAATAACAGGCATTCCTCTGGGAGAAAAAACATCAGCTTTTATAAAAAGTTCCAAGCAATAATTACAATTTTATTTTTCACCACCCACAAAATAATGAATCACAAGCTATTCATGGCCTTTTGTGCAACTTCTAACAGTTCTGGGGAGAGTGGGGAGTGTTGGTGACAACACCAACAAGAATAATACCCATCCACCAAAAAGCACTTATCAAAATAATTAGTCTTAATTTCTAAAAAAATAGCCTTGCAAACAATTGTCATGGATAAATTACTGCCACCTTCCTATTTATAACACATGATTTTGTTTAATACAATGTGTGTAGAGATACGGGGGGAAATCCTATAAGAAACACAACTTTCTCAGGAAAAGTCCTGATAAGAGGTATTATTTTATGACAGTAGAAAAGATGAAAAATATCCACTTACAGAGCCATCTCTGCCAGAGAAAAGAACTCACACCTTGTTTGAAGGGATTTGTTCCCTAGGAACTCTACCACAGTCCTTTCTTGCTGCAGAGCCTTGGAGTGGCAGCTTCCCCACAAACCCTTCCCTGGGATACCCTGGGCACAGCTCATCCCACAGGATCCAGAGAAATGCCTCAAGCCTGGCCATCCTAGGAGCTGAAAACTTGTAATTCCATCAAGGTAATCACTGATATAAATTATAGAGAAATATTAAATACATATATTTTTATATATAGATATATATTACAAATACATAAATCTGACAACATTTAATATAAAATTCAATTGTGAATAAATGATACCCTATATCCTATAAGTTGGCCCCAAATAAACACTTTTCTTCTTTTTTTTTTTTTTCCACAGTGTGAACTTGCACAGGTATCCTGTCCTCCAGGACCTTCACAAAGTTGCTCTGCATGTTTCACAATCAAAAGATGAGATGTCCTATTACAAATTTCGAAATTTGTCTGTGGAACTTGTGTGAGCAAGATCCATCACTTAGGAGTAGGTGAGAGATCATGAAAACGACTCCCACCAGGAGAAAATAAACAAAAGACAAGCCAGCCTTTTAAAGACAAATGTGGTTTTCCTCATTATCCTTAACGAAAATTGGCATATTGTGATTTAGGGTCTGACAGCCTCCTTTAGGCTGAGCACAGAGCTGAAGCTGATGGGACTTATTCTCAATTTATAGGCCTATATGTGCAAATAAAAGAGATGCAATCTGGTCTGGCACCAACAAATCACTTGTCACAGTTTCCACTCATACAAAGGACTAAGGAATGAATTAACATGTCACAAATGGAAATTATTGACTAATAGATGACTGAAAGCCTCCTGAATGTCTCCAGGCAAGAATATGAATAAAACAAAAGGTATCTCGGAGAATCTCTTGTTCAGACTGTTGCATATCCAATTGGGGGAAAAAAGAAACAAAAATATCATTGAGTTTCATTGTTTTGTTTACCTCCTCACAAAAGTTCAAGTTTCCAAGTCTACACTAAACTGAAAAAAATGGAATTTGGAGGAAAAAACTATCTATGCTGGATAAAAGTCCTTTTTTATGTTTATTTGACAGAAAAGCAAGCATAAGCTCATTCAAGCACATTGAACATAAGGTCAATTAAACATGGTGTTCTTGGATCAACAGGTTAAATTAATTGATATCTTGCTGGTTTTACCCTGACTATGTAAAAATGAATGTGTTATGCTCAGATCAGTCAGAAGCAAGAAAGATGGGGAGACTGTAAATAAATTCATTTTCAAAAATCCTTTCCAACGGCAGGAACATAAAACGCCACTCTCTCCTAGTTATTAAACATACCACTGAAAATTGGGGAATTAAACCATGAAGTGCTCTCTTGCTGGCCATAAATTTCAATTTTTCCCCTGCTTGGTGGATAATGATGCCTTGATAAGCGTCCTATTATTGATGCATCTGCAGCACAGCTCCTGTTCCTGGAGCCGAAACGCCGCTCTGCAGCAGATGGT